CTGCAGCTCCACTTATCCACATTTATTTTTAGATTAACGATGCATGAAAGTACTTCATCTGAGTACAGATGAACTTTACTTCATCTCAGAGGCATTCATCTGACAGCGTTAGGTCCTCTACAGATTCAGATGAACACATGTTCATGTGTATAGATCAGAGAGTGAAGATGAGCTCCACCTTTACCAGCTGCAGCATCACAAGAGATGAACACATGAATGCATCAATATAATAACATCATGTATGTTCTGCACAAAGAGTACATGTTATATATTTGTTTTGACAGACGTGCTTCATGAGCATGTAACTCTGCAGAAATATATGAGACATTTGTGACAAACAGTTGAGAGGAACATATGCGATGTTGAAATCTGCATTTAGTCTTAGTCTGTGAAATAGACTCTGCAACACGTGGTCACTTCCTGTGCCAGCTTCAGTCGGAGCAGGAAGTGCTGCAGGCTCCTCACACAATAACACTTACCACAAACACTCTGAACTAGCTCTGGTTTCCGTCAGAGGGTGAGAAGAGGTGCTGCAGCTTTAATGTAGAGACACTACATACTGATATACACCTGAACATCAGCAGGAGAGGACTCTTTAAAGTAGAGACACTACATACTGATATACACCTGAACATCAGCAGGAGAGGACTCTTTAAAGTAGAGACACTACATACTGATATACACCTGAACATCAGCAGGAGAGGACTCTTTAAAGTAGAGACACTACATACTGATATACACCTGAACATCAGCAGGAGAGGACTCTTTAAAGTAGAGACACTACATACTGATATACACCTGAACAGCAGCAGGAGAGGACTCTTTAAAGTAGAGACACTACATACTGATATACACCTGAACATCAGCAGGAGAGGACTCTTTAAAGTAGAGACACTACATACTGATATACACCTGAACATCAGCAGGAGAGGACTCTTTAAAGTAGAGACACTACATACTGATATACACCTGAACATCAGCAGGAGAGGACTCTTTAAAGTAGAGACACTACATACTGATATACACCTGAACATCAGCAGGAGAGGACTCTTTAAAGTAGAGACACTACATACTGATATACACCTGAACATCAGCAGGAGAGGACTCTTTAAAGTAGAGACACTACATACTGATATACACCTGAACATCAGCAGGAGAGGACTCTTTAAAGTAGAGACACTACATACTGATATACACCTGAACATCAGCAGGAGAGGACTCTTTAAAGTAGAGACACTACATACTGATATACACCTGAACATCAGCAGGAGAGGACTCTTTAAAGTAGAGACACTACATACTGATATACACCTGAACATCAGCAGGAGAGGACTCTTTAAAGTAGAGACACTACATACTGATATACACCTGAACATCAACAGGAGAGGACTCTTTAAAGTAGAGACACTACATACTGATATACACCTGAACATCAGCAGGAGAGGACTCTTTAAAGTAGAGACACTACATACTGATATACACCTGAACATCAACAGGAGAGGACTCTTAAAGTAGAGACACTACATACTGATATACACCTGAACATCAGCAGGAGAGGACTCTTTAAAGTAGAGACACTACATACTGATATACACCTGAACATCAACAGGAGAGGACTCTTTAAAGTAGAGACACTACATACTGAGATACACCTGAACATCAGCAGGAGAGGACTCTTTAAAGTAGAGACACTACATACTGATATACACCTGAACATCAACAGGAGAGGACTCTTTAAAGTAGAGACACTACATACTGATATACACCTGAACATCATCAGGAGAGGACTCTTTAAAGTAGAGACACTACATACTGATATACACCTGAACATCAGCAGGAGAGGACTCTTTAAAGTAGAGACACTACATACTGATATACACCTGAACATCATCAGGAGAGGACTCTTTAAAGTAGAGACACTACATACTGATATACACCTGAACATCAGCAGGAGAGGACTCTTTAAAGTAGAGACACTACATACTGATATACACCTGAACATCAGCAGGAGAGGACTCTTTAAAGTAGAGACACTACATACTGATATACACCTGAACATCAGCAGGAGAGGACTCTTTAAAGTAGAGACACTACATACTGATATACACCTGAGCATCAGCAGGAGAGGACTCTTTAAAGTAGAGACACTACACACTGATATACACCTGAACATCAGCAGGAGAGGACTCTTTAAAGTAGAGACACTACATACTGATATACACCTGAACATCAGCAGGAGAGGACTCTTTAAAGTAGAGACACTACATACTGATATACACCTGAACATCAGCAGGAGAGGACTCTTAAAGTAGAGACACTACATACTGATATACACCTGAACATCAGCAGGAGAGGACTCTTTAAAGTAGAGACACTACATACTGATATACACCTGAACATCAGCAGGAGAGGACTCTTTAAAGTAGAGACACTACATACTGATATACACCTGAACATCAGCAGGAGAGGACTCTTTAAAGTAGAGACACTACATACTGATATACACCTGAACATCAGCAGGAGAGGACTCTTTAAAGTAGAGACACTACATACTGATATACACCTGAACATCAGCAGGAGAGGACTCTTTAAAGTAGAGACACTACATACTGATATACACCTGAACATCAGCAGGAGAGGACTCTTTAAAGTAGAGACACTACATACTGATATACACCTGAACATCAGCAGGAGAGGACTCTTTAAAGTAGAGACACTACATACTGATATACACCTGAACATCAGCAGGAGAGGACTCTTTAAAGTAGAGACACTACATACTGATATACACCTGAACATCAGCAGGAGAGGACTCTTTAAAGTAGAGACACTACATACTGATATACACATGAACATCAGCAGGAGAGGACTCTTTAAAGTAGAGACACTACATACTGATATACACCTGAACATCAGCAGGAGAGGACTCTTTAAAGTAGAGACACTACATACTGATATACACCTGAACATCAGCAGGAGAGGACTCTTTAAAGTAGAGACACTACATACTGATATACACCTGAACATCAGCAGGAGAGGACTCTTTAAAGTAGAGACACTACATACTGATATACACCTGAACATCAGCAGGAGAGGACTCTTTAAAGTAGAGACACTACATACTGATATACACCTGAACATCAGCAGGAGAGGACTCTTTAAAGTAGAGACACTACATACTGATATACACCTGAACATCAGCAGGAGAGGACTCTTTAAAGTAGAGACACTACATACTGATATACACCTGAACATCAGCAGGAGAGGACTCTTTAAAGTAGAGACACTACATACTGATATACACCTGAACATCAGCAGGAGAGAACTCTTTAAGTAGAGACACTACATACTGATATACACCTGAACATCAGCAGGAGAGGACTCTTTAAAGTAGAGACACTACATACTGATATACACCTGAACATCAGCAGGAGAGAACTCTTTAAAGTAGAGACACTACATACTGATATACACCTGAACATCAGCAGGAGAGGACTCTTTAAAGTAGAGACACTACATACTGATATACACCTGAACATCAGCAGGAGAGGACTCTTTAAAGTAGAGACACTACATACTGATATACACCTGAACATCAGCAGGAGAGGACTCTTTAAAGTAGAGACACTACATACTGATATACACCTGAACATCAGCAGGAGAGGACTCTTTAAAGTAGAGACACTACATACTGTGTGAATACGGCCTATTTAAGTCACAGCACATTTGTATAGTTGTTATTGTTGTAAGGGTGTGAAGTATTAACACTTTTCTAATTTAACTGATCTTCAAAACGAGTAAAATATAACAAATTAAAAACTCAATAATGTTGTTTGAACAAAAAGACCTTACTCTGAAATACATAGTGATAATGCATCTTTTCTCATATGGACAAAAAGCTAAGCGACTTTGATCTGATTATACACACACACACACACACACACACACACACACACACACACACACACACAGACACACACACACACACACACACACACACACACACACACACAGAGGAAGTGACTGGCATCAGGTTGGATGTGTCACTTCTCCATTTTCACTTCACAGTTTATTCACAAGTAATTTGAAACCCAGTTTTCAGATCATCTTGAGGACACTGAACACATCACAGAAAGGTTTCCTCGTCAAAACCCCGCCAGCCCGATGTTATGTTAGGTTGTTGAGCTGTGTCTTTACTTTATTCCTAATGTGTAACTGTAATCCTGGTTTACTTACGGTGGGTTTTATACAGCTTTCTATCAGGGTTATTGGAGGCGGCGGGGAATTAATGATAAGAATGTACGCGATAGTAGTGGTACGTATATGAAAGAAAACACCTCACTAATGTACATTAACAAAAACCTTGGAACATGTTTTTGTGAAGGAACTAAAAGACTTTCCCACAAACTAAAACCTAAAAGAATACCCAAGTACATTTTCTCAAAAGACCCTGAAACCAAATCGTTTATCCACCGGTCGAAACATCGGTCAATTCATAAGATGCAAAAAACAGAAATATCAACACCGTGTTTTATACGTTTCTGCAAACCAGGAATATGTTCAATGTCGACGCACCACGCAGTAACGCACAATGCCACGTTGTCGTGAAACAATGAACCGTCACAACCATAACAACACAAGGTAACAAACAACCATTCTTACCATAGGTAACAAGGATACATCGTAAGGAAACAACGCAACATTGTTAGGTAACATGAATACATCGTAAGGTAACATGAATACATCGTGAGGTAACATGAATACATCGTAAGGTAACATGCATCATCATGAGGAAACAAGGATACACCGTAAGGAAACGACACAACATCGGGAGGAAACAAGGATGCATCGTAAGGAAACGACACAACATCGGGAGGAAACAAGGATGCATCGTAAGGTAACAATATTCATATATATATAAGATCGCAATATTAACATATATAATCAAATAAAACACATACTACACACACAGCATAATAAAGAACGTCAGATTGACTCACTGAGGAGGAAGGAGTTTCGTGGAGGAGGCAGAGAGACGGAGGAGCTCAGGAGGAAGAGGAGGAGGAAGAGGAGAGACGGAGGCATGATGAAGGAGCAGCTGATGAAGATGGAGGACTTTTCTCTGCAGCTCTTATCGTAGCGACTGTCAGTGCCGACTGTCAGAGAGCGACTGAAGAAACACTCAGAAACCTCAGAAACCTCAACTTCCTGTCACTGTGGACGGAGGTTTCATCATCCTGTCAGGAGGGCCCCTTTACAGTCAATGCCTTACAACGCACATGACCAAAAATGAAATTAGTAACCTATTCTGAGTTTTAATATATAAAAAGTAACCTGATTACTTTCCATATCTTTTGGATTGGATATCAAATGCAATGCAAATAAAAACAAGAGAATATAAATAACATTAAGATGTTGTTTACTTAAGTGTTTGTAATACTGTAACCTCAGAAAAGTAGAAACTAAGATATTTCATATAACATTTTTTAGACATAGTTTACAAATGCTGTTTAACAGTAATCTGATTACTTATTTATTTAAAGGGGACCTATCATGCAAAATGCACTTTTGTACGTCTTTTCTACATGAATATGTGTCCCCGGTGTTCCAGGGAACTCACCAAGTGTCAGAAAACACAACCCTCTCTATTTTCCTCCATACCCAAATCTCTAAAAAAGGGGCTGCAACGGATCTGATCAAAACTGATCCAGATTTGAACACTGTCCTGACGTCAGGACGGTGGCGCTACGGCTATTGGGCCAACTCCACCAATCAGGGGAATGTGGGGTTGGGCCACGGCCGGCCATTGTCGCTCGAAAGCGCTGGAGACGCTGTAGTACATATGCCAGGCCTGTAAGTGGCGCTGTAGTCTGCCACAAAAGCAGCGAAGAAGACTTCCCGCCCATAGTTACCATGGTTACCCTTCTGTTTATTCTCCGCTGTGGCTTTCTTTCTCCCTCCCCGAGGCAAGCGTTTGCTCCCGCTGCTTTAATTCAATGCAATCCCTCCCCGTCGAGGCAAGCACTGTAATTCTCTCCGGTTAGTCCACCAGCAGATGACAAACACCCACCTCTCCGCCTCTTCCAAGGAACGAGGGGACCGTGCGGCAGAGTTTCAGTTTCAGTTTCTTTCGCCGGTCAAGATGTCCGTTAAAGTTTAAATCTTCCAGACAAAATTATAAAGTGCCGGTCAAAGGTCTTCTTTGTTATTTATTGAGCTTTAAAACAAATGAATAACGACTCTATATAATAATATAATAAAACACGGAGGACGGAGATCCCCCCCCTCTTCTGAGAGCCCAGCAGCTGTTCAGAGCACGCTCCCCTCTCCTGCAGGGGGGCGTGGTCAGCTGCAGCTCACAGAATCAGCCCCCTGCAGGGCTGGAGAACAGCAAATAGAGCTGGTTGATGAGGGGAAAGGAACGTTTGGGGCTCTCTGCTGGAACTGATACCTCCACGACCCGACCACGGATAAGCGGGAGAAGATGGCTGGATGGATGGGTAATCGAATACAGTTACTTTTTTGTATCCTGTTACATGTAATCCATTTCCCCCGAAGCCTGATCATATCACCTGTTAATGCGTACTGTGTGTCACATGCAACACTAGTGCTGAGCACACACAATTATAATTTAATTGTTGTGTTTTTTCATTAAAAAATATCAGTAGCATCATGTTAGCCAATTGGCATTTCAAGGGTTAAATTCTGAAAATAAATTAATATTTTGCAGTTATGATGAAAACTGATCTTGGTTCAAAGATTTCACCTTTTGTTTTATAATTTAAATAATATTTTGTAAAGCATTCTTTAAAAGGGAGGGGACATGTTGGTGCTCTGAGGACATCGGAGGAACGTTTCTTAAAAATAAGCACAAGGGGTTAAAAGACAACAGCTTATCGTCTGTTCAAATGATTCTGAGAAAAATATAAATATGCATCAAAATCCAATGTCTGGTTTTTAATCATTTAATAATAATAATAATAGATTTATTTTGTAAGCGCTTTTACGGGTGCTCAAAGTCGCTTTACAGAGATAGTGAAAAGAAAAGAACAACAAATAAATATAGTTGAAGTCAAATAAAAATCAAGCAATACAAAAACAATCACACATTAGAAGCCAGATTGAAGAGGTGAGTTTTTGTGAGTGTTTTGAAGGTGGAGAGGTGCCGTCTCTGATGGGCTGTGGGAACCGACCAAGACAGTGAAAAGATAATCCCTCCACATTTGAATGGTTACAATCCTGACAAGTGAATGTATTTTGTAAGAAAAGAGTGAAGATTCAGTGAAAATTATATTTATTTATTATTTCTTGATGGTGCTTCTTTTTCCTTTAAGCACATGAGTTTAGAGACACGAGGTTTTAGACGGTTTCTCTGATACCCCATTCACACCAACGGTGTTTCGGGGCCGGTTCAGAGCTGGAGCTTGAAAAGCACCGGGTTTTCCTGTTCACACCGCAGCGGAGCCGCCTCTAAGCTCCGGAATCCGGTTCGTTTCGAGCACCAAAAAGTTGTCCGTCTAGAAGCAAGAACCGCATACGTCACGCTTACGTCGGAGGGGGGCGAGATTAACCTGAGCTAACAGTTAAGGCGAGTACGGCAAATAAAAGTTGTAACAAGCAGTAGTGCTGAGCAAAGTGACTAGAACGCAACCACACACTTGTTAAAAAAAACACACTTTATAAAGTCAGGCAACACTAACCAGGCTTCGTGTGATTCTGTTTATTTGTACCTTACTTTGACCATCCGTTCGCTGTTATTGATCATTGTGGAGAGCAGGCAGACGTTTTGTTTGTTAGTATAGCAGCTATCGGATGGAATCAATACATGGGCTGCACAGGTTGTCATGTCCGACTATCACAAGTAGAATCATAATGAAAAATACGCCGGTAAAAAGTGCCTGTAGAAAACTGCTTAGCAAGTAGTCAGTTTAGCTTCGGTTGCTATGCTAACATCACCCATGTTATACCAGAGAAACTTTCATAACAGCGTTGTGATGCCAAACAGCGTCAATTCAGACTGACACACATTCACTTAAGGGGAACTGGGGATATGTATCAGCTGCTTGTGTGACAGTCAGACAGTGAATACTTTAGAGCCGTGTGAGCTAACCCGGAGCTAACGGGAGAATACACTCCCGTGGAAGAGCAGCCAGCACTGCAGCGGTCGCTAAATGAAACACATTAATAAACAATGAACCACGGCACTCTGGAGAAAAGTATAAGGTTGGAGAAGTCGTTATTTAATTTAATCTGGCTTCGTATGATTAAAAGCAACACGATCATCGACCCGAAGCAGTGTCCCATTGTTGTTGAAGTAGTGAGCGCCGTAACGCCGTTGAGGAGAAAATCAGCGACGTAAACTGTGACGTCATGACGCAGCAGCGGCAGCACCAGTCGGGCTCTGAGCGGTGTGAACAGAGCGGGAGCTGAACCGAAGAACCGGTTCTGAACCAGAAAAGCTCTAGCACGGAGCTAGAACGGGAAAAGCCTTGGTGTGAAAGGGGTATGAGTCACATTTGGTTTCTCGTAAGGACTTTTCAGATTCAGATCCCTCGCCTCTGGTTCCAGATCTCTCGCCCACGTTTCTTCTGGTTAAAGAGTTCGCTGACTATAGGAGAAGTGTGATAAGTAAGTGATATGGGTTCTTTTAATGACCGCCTCGCTGCACATTATCCCGCTTATTACAAGGCCACATTCTCAACAAAGTAACAACATTAATTGAAATGCTTTTATAGATTTAGAAAATGTTTTTATTGATTTAAAAAATAGTATTATTGATTTAAAAAGTAGTTTTATTGATTTAAATTGACATGCATCCGCTAAGAAAAATAGTCCGTTGTTACCGTTTGAATTACGTAGCAATGGCAGGAACTGCTTCGATAGCGTTTTTGAGGAGCTTTTTGATTACAGATTTGAAAACATCGTTGCTTGCTTTAAAAGTAGCTCAAGTCATGATGTCAGACGTTGGGAAGTATCTAGATATCCCTGCCCTCATGCCAAAGGAACTGCACACTGAATATGTGTCGCCGTTTGATGTCTATGTCTGGACCTTAACAACTTAAGTACTACTGGATTAACAACGTGTCACGTGTTCTGAATTGACCAATCAGAATCGAGTATTCAACTAAGCCATGTAATAAACTGGGTTAAACACCAAGGTTAATATTGTCCTCAACAAAAGGGTTCAATTTTAACTGTATTGTAATATTATATTTTAAATGTACTATGTACTACTTTACAGACCTGTACTTTAATCTTGTTTTATAACTGTTTGTCTGATAGCGATTATGCAATGTTTGTAGTGTTTGTTGATTGTTATACATGCAGATGGAAATGAGCTATTAGCTCAGATCTGGCATAAATCATCTCTTCTCTTTCCTGAGATTATTGTATTTGTATGCATGGTCCTAAATAAATACATAAATTCAAATTAAATCGTCACTTCACAATAAAAAGTTATTACAAGGAGTTTTCTTTTCCTGGTAATGAACCATTCTCATTGTAATGAAACGTACTCGTACACTTCATTAAAAGTATTGAACATTATGGCAATTATTGATCATTATGGCAATTATTGATCATTAAAAGGTCAACATTGTTGAACAGATGCCTTAACTGACTTACATTACGGTTCAGGCTCTACTCGGCTCTATCGTTATGTGGTCTTGAAAAATGTGATTTTTGAGGCGAAACATGAATAAATCCAGTTTTCGAACGAGATGTTTTTACAGTAATATAAACCAGATATTATGGAGGGAATTGTTGTTTCTGAATTTTCTCAAGTTTCAGACTTTTTTCAAGAATTCTGACTTTCTTCTTAAAAATATTGATGTTTTTAAAAAGTTGTACATTTTTCTAACTCGACTTTTTTCAAAAAATTCTGACTTTTTTGAGAATCTCTGCTTTTCTCTAAAATTCTATCTTTTTTCTGAACTTTGACATTTTTTAAGAAATCTGAAGAAGAAAGACATTTCTGACTTCAGAATTCTTAGACTTTTTCCTCAACATTCGGAAATGTTTCAGTCTCAACTTTTTTTTGTCAGAATTCTGCTTTATTTCTAAGGTTTCTTAATTTTTTCAAAATTAATTCTGTATCTTTCGCAAAATTCAGACTTTCCTAAAACTGTTGACATTTTTCTGAACTTTTACATTTTTCAAGAAATGTGACTCTTTTTTTCCGAATTCCAACTTTTTCTCAAAATTCAATTTTTCTTTCAGGAATCGGACTGACTTTCTTTAAAAAAAGACCTGTAAATAAACAAACCAACGAGCAGAAAATGCAGAAAGTTGGTTTTATTGAGGACATTTCCTCTAGCAGCAAACATGTGAACATAGCAGGACACGAACAGCATGAATATCAACAATTTACCTAATCAATCAATTATCAATCTAACAACCAATCTGGCAAACAACCAATACATCTTTCCACCAACCAACCAACCAACCAAATGGCCAATTGTTCCAGCAACCAATCAACCAACCAAACAAACAACCAACCAACCAATCAACCAACCAACATAAACAATCAACCAACTAACCAAACAACCAACCAAACAACATAAACAATCAACCAACCAACCAACCAATCGACCAAACAACCAACATAAACAATCAACCAACAAAACAATCAACCAACTAACCAACCAACCAACCAACCAATCAATCAACCAACCAAACAACCAACCAACCAACCAATCAATCAACCAATCAACCAACCAATCAATCAACCAACCAATCAATCAATCAACCAACCAATCAACCAACTAACCAACCAACCAACTTGAATATCTGGACATGTTTGATCTGAAGCTCTTTAAGGATCGTCAGGTAAAAACAGATTCAGTTTCCTGTGCAGCAATAGATTGAACGGACATCACTTTCACACATTTTAATAAAACAAATATTCTTAAAGGGATGTTTTGCCTTCACGTGACGCTTTAATTCATTGTAGATAAAAAAGGTAAATTGTGTCAAGAATAAATCTAAATCCTGGCGTTATATTCTGAAAGTTTGACTTTATTCTCAAAATGTTGACTTCGAGTTTGGCTTTGAATCACTGCGGCGGAAAGTTCAGCAATAACATTGATCATTATTTAGAAAAAATAAGTTACATCAGATCACAAAATCAAAACATTTTAAGAAAACGGTTTTAGCATTTCAGAATGAAGTGGAGGCAAGAAAAAGGTCAGAATATATTAAAGGAATTGTCATAATATTACAAAATGAAAAAGCATAAAGGAGTACAATTTAGAGGAAATTGTCAAAATATTTAGAAGATAAAGTCTTTTTTTTAGAAGATTAATTCATAATATTTTTAAATAAAGTTGTCAACGCTAGCTTTCTCTTTTAATAGAAACGTCATCCTCAAATAATTATGACTTTATCCCCGAAATATTACAACTTTTTCCTCTAAATATTACTTTATAAAATATTGGTGTTTCCCCAAAAATGTCAGTGTTCAGCCAAAAATAATTCTAACACTTTTTTCTCAAAATATTTTAAACTTCACAAAATCCCAGAAGGTTTTGGTAAAGGTCCGAGCTGTCCGAGGAAAGTCCCGTTAGCAACATAAAGGTTAAACTCCGTGATTATATATAATCCTGTTCCTTAAAGTGTCTGAAACTTTCTGCATTTCATTGTTTTGCTAAAAAGAAAATCCTGATTGTAGGTTCAAAACTATTTCCCGTGATCCTCCTCGGGTCCGGGGCCACAGTGTGAGACCCGGTCTTTATTCCCTTCTCAGGGTCCATAAGGCACTGCGCATCACTGCCGAGGATCAACAGTCTCTGAGAGAAATCCGACGAAAGCAAAGTCATCTTCATCTTCATCTTCATCTTCGGGCGAACAGACCAACGTTTTATTTAAAGCTGGTCTTCGCTCCGTCAGAGCGCCGATGAGTCGACTCTCTGAGCGCCTGCGGGCCGCAGAGGGGGGCGTCTGCAGAAAGAGACCTGAGGTTACTTTAAACCTTCCTTTTCATTAGACCTGGGGGGTCCAAACTTTGTTCTCCGAGGGCCACATATAGAAAAACATAAGAAGGGCTGGGCCGCTAACTAGAGGAGAGGGATATCGCCTCATAAGTTAAGTTATAAGTTAGCTAAATCAATCAAATACTTGAATGTGCATTAAGAAAAACAGACTCCTTAAAAAAAACTAAAATATTTCCTGTTCTTTTGTCAAATAAACAAACTTGAAAATAAATAATTGTCCCAACGACTTCAAAGACCCCCAGGGGCCGTACCTTTTGGGTCCGGCTGGGTTAGCAGCTGCTCCGTGTCGGGGGGGGCAGTTGGGCAGGGGGGCGACCAGACGAGGCTTCACAGGGACCAAAGGTTTGAGAGGGATCTGAGGAGAGCATCATGGGTAATAACTTTTAATTTGATTTGATTTATTTCGAACGTGTAAAACAATAATACAAAAGATAATACAAATAATGAAATGAAAGAAGAGAATTATGATACTGTACAAACTTAAAGGTGGGGTAGGTAATTTTGAAGAAACCGGCTCGAGTGCGCAAGAATTTGAAAATACACAGCCGGAAAAAATCTGCCACTTCCTCACAGAGCCCCTCCTCCAACACACACGACCAATGACCAATGAGGGCACGAGATAAGTTTGTGCACAGATGGAAGGCTGACAGGCAGGTAGGCCATCCAGTCATTTTAGCCGGGCCGGCTCAGATGATTGGTCGTGCTTTTTACAGAACTACAGCTTCCACAGGTGATATTTATTTATGGATTTATTGTCAAAGCACTTCAGATATTCATTGCTATCGGGATGTTAAGAGCATTCCATGGAATATAACAACAAGTGTATCTCGAGCCGGTTTCTCAAACTTACCTACCCCACCTTTAAGCAGTATCAGATTGATAAACAAAAATATTATTGACTTTCAAATGATCTATAAACAAATGATTTACCTAACTACACATCCGAAAAGAAGTGGGAAGAAGTTTACACTCATTTAATCCCACCCCCTCTCCCAGAAACTCAACAGTAACAGGTGCATTTCACCCGCCGGTGTAAATGTCCGATGCTCATTTCTGTTCCTGAACACACCTGTCTGATCCAATCACCTCACCTGAACTAAATCTGCTGTGACCTTATTCAGAGAAATGATTCAAATGAAAGCTATTCAGTTCGGAAAAAATATGATTCAACGTAGGGCTGTGCAATTAATCGTATTTTAATCGCAATTACGATTTTGGCCTGCCATAATTACGAAAACAAACATAATCGAAAAAAACTATTATTTTGCTTTGCTAGGTTGTGACAGTGCAACATATTTGATCTAATTTATTTTTGGTCTAATTTATTTTTATTTATCATATTTATATATGTTTAGTAGCTTGTGGAAGTGCGCTCCAAAATATTTGTTGATCTTGTTTATTGGTATTTATTATTTTGATATTATTTATTTAAATGTATCATTTATTTTTGTATTGGTTTTTCAGTTGAATTATACGTTCAGGGTAATCTACAGTTACAAAGATACTGTTGGAAATTATTATTTGTATTTGTTTTAAAGATCAATAAATGGATGTTTTCAAAGTCAATGAATAATCGTATTTAATAATCGTGATATCAATTATTAACCAAAATAATCGTGATTATGATTTTTGCCATAATCGCACAGCCTTAATTCAACGTTTTTTCTTCAGAGTTCTTCAGAATTAAAATATTTGCATAATTGATTTTTCAATGAAGAAGCTACATGCTAGCAGCTACATTTTAACAGTGTCATGCTAACAGCTACTTTTTAACAGCTACATGCTAACAGCTCAATTCTAGCAGCTACATACTAACAGCTACATTTTAACAGCTTCATGCTAGCAGCTACATTTTAACAGTGTCATGCTAACAGCTACTTTTTAACAGCTACATGCTAACAGCTCAATTCTAGCAGCTACATACTAACAGCTACATTTTAACAGCTTCATGCTAACAGCTACTTTTTAACAGCTTCATGCTAACAGCTACTTTTTAACAGCTACATGCTAACAGCTAAATTCTAGCAGCTACATACTAACAGCTACATTTTAACAGCTTCATGCTAACAGCTACTTTTTAACAGCTTCATGCTAACAGCTACTTTTTAACAGCTACATGCTAACAGCTCAATTCTAGCAGCTACATACCAACAGCTACATTTTAACAGCTTCATGCTAACAGCTACTTTTTAACAGCTTCATGCTAACAGCTACTTTTTAACAGCTACATGCTAACAGCTAAATTCTAGCAGCTACATACTAACAGCTACATTTTAACAGCTTCATGCTAACAGCTACTTTTTAACAGCTACATGCTAACAGCTAAATTCTAGCAGCTACATACTAACAGCTACATTTTAACAGCTTCATGCTAACAGCTACTTTTTAACAGCTTCACGCTAACAGCTACTTTTTAACAGCTACATGCTAACAGCTAAATTCTAGCAGCTACATACTAACAGCTACATTTTAACAGCTTCATGCTAACAGCTACTTTTTAACAGCTACATGCTAACAGCTAAATTCTAGCAGCTACATACTAACAGCTACATTTTAACAGCTTCATGCTAACAGCTACTTTTTAACAGCTACATGCTAACAGCTAAATTCTAGCAGCTACATACTAACAGCTACATTTTAACAGCTTCATGCTAACAGCTACTTTTTAACAGTGTCATGCTAACAGCTACTTTTTAACAGCTACATGCTAACAGCTAAATTCTAGCAGCTACATACTAACAGCTACATTTTAACAGCTTCATGCTAACAGCTACTTTTTAACAGCTTCATGCTAACAGCTACTTTTTAACAGCTACATGCTAACAGCTAAATTCTAGCAGCTACATACTAACAGCTACATTTTAACAGCTTCATGCTAACAGCTACTTTTTAACAGCTTCATGCTAACAGCTACTTTTTAACAGCTACATGCTAACAGCTATATTCTAGTAGCTGAATTCTAACAGGTCAATGTTAAAAGCTACAAACTCTCGGCTACATGCTAACAGCTACATGCTAACAGCTACATACTAGCAGCTACATGCTAACAACTACATACTAGCAGCTTCATGCTTACAACTACATTTTAACAGCTTCATGCTAACAACTACATTTTAACAGCTTCATGCTAACAGCAACATTTGAGCGGCTGAATTCCAACAGCTCTGTGTTAGAAGCTACAAACTATCTGCTATATGCTAACAGCTACATGCTAACAGGTGTACCTGTGCAGGTGTGCCAGGGTCAGGGGGGAGGGGCTTGTTGGGTGGAGCTGGTCTCCCGAGCAGCTGGAGGTTAGTGGGGGGAGGGGGGGCATTCAGTACAAGAGAGGGTTAAACAGGAACATCATGCTCAGACATATTTTTAATTTGAGTTATTAGTGCTGCATGCAGATAGAAACAGAGCAAAGGAGAGAACATGTACAAACATCATGCAGTGAAGTGAATGAATTCAGACTGAAATCTGATGACTTTAATGATATCAGTCAATCAACTCGGGGAGATCAAGAAAATATATGGTCAATTACATGTATTAATCATTAGTCTATCAAAGCACTTCTACAAGTCAGCATTCACCCACCGTTTAAATCAAAATAATTACACAACAAATCTGAATTTGCAGCTTTCAAATGATGATTTAAAGTCACCATTATAAATGCAGCTTCAAACTCTTTAGTAGAAGAAGACTGTATTAAACTTTGCAGAAACTGTACAGGTGAGTGTACCTGAGCGGGGGGGTCGCAGGGCAGAGGCTTGCTGGGGGGGGCAGGTCGCTGGTTAGCAGGTTAAAGCAGAAATAAAAGTTACAGAGCAGCAGGGTCAGAAATAAGAGACGATAAAACATTTTCTCTGATCATGATTTAACTCGGACGCTAGCACAGACGTTAGCACAGAGAAGCTAACATACAGAGACGTTAGCACAGAGACGCTAACACACAGACGTTAGCACAGAGACGCTAACACACAGAGACGTTAGCACAGAGACGCTAACACAAAGAGACGCTAACACAAAGAGACGTTAGCACAGAGACGCTAACACACAGAGACGTTAGCACAGAGACGCTAACACACAGAGACGTTAGCACAGAGACGCTAACACACAGACGTTAGCACAGAGACGCTAACACACAGAGACGTTAGCACAGAGACGCTAACACACAGAGACGCTAACACAAAGAGACGTTGGCACAGAGACGCTAACACACAGACGTTAGCATAGAGGCGCTAACACACAGAGACGTTAGCACAGAGACGCTAACACACAGACGTTAGCACAGAGACGCTAACACACAGACGTTTATGAGGTGTGATTTGTGCCAAAGACTGAACTCACTGAGCAGCCAATCGTGTCGATCGTCGCCTACCATGCCGTGAACTATGCCGCGAGAGAAATAACCTCACACTCTCGTTGCCACCCCTCTCGTCTGAGAAGCTACGTGACGTCTGCGTCTGAAGTTACTTTACTTACACCAAATAACCCAGTAATGTTACAGCTACTTAGTTGCTGTTCAAGCTAGACTCTATTTCAATATAGTTTTGGTATTAAAATAACGTTACACCTCTTGTATGCCCTGAATGCAAAAACAACCACAGACAAGAATATATATTTTTAATTATCAAAATGATAACAAAGGCTGAAACACAGGAGAAGCCTGTCTTCCCTTGGTCTCCAGGAGAAAACTGTATATCACCAAGTTTTCATATAGTTTTGTGTGTGAAATAGATCGCTGCAGTGAACACGACTTTATGTATTTGTTTATGGTTTATTTGATTTGGAGGGATGCAGTATACATAGAAGTTCAGAGAAGAGGCAACCCCTATTGTTTATTTTATTTCATTTCATTGTGGCACCATGGCAGAGGCAAATATAGAGTTAATGTGCGGAGATTATAATGTCCCGTTTACTAAAATATGTAGGCTATTGTTTTTTATGTTTAGTTGATAAAATAGTCACTGTGCTACATTTTGCTGCACTCAAGCATCTGAAGACGAGTTGTGTCCCCCTTTGGCCACAAGGGGGAGTATATATATATTGTGTATATATATATATTTTGTATAGATGTTGCAACTATACAGAGCTTTGGCAATACTATATGTAACTGAGGTCATGCTAATAAAGCTATTGAATTGAATTGAGTATACCTTAAGTGAGCTGTCAGGAGGAAACAAAGGTTCACCAACACATTGCACTTTAATGCTGAGAAAGTACGAAGACGTGAAACGATGTGCTGCAATGTCTGTGTATCTTTGAAGAATGCCAAGTAAAGGAAGAAAGTAATAACTCGCACTGAGTCTTAATACATTACTTTATTTCTATTATATAAAAACACTATCCAATGATTTATTATGTTTGTGATTTATTATGTTTGTGATTTATTATGTTTGTATCAGGCTACAATATAGAAAGAAATGTGGCTCATAATGTTCGCTCACTTACTTTCTGCTTCGTCATTCTATACCATAGGGGGTTCTGAATAAATCAGTGATTTTAGCACATTTCGCTGCCTTTTGTTGCAGGGTGGGGGTCCATCCTTCCACAATAATTAACCTTGCCGTCAGTTTCAGTCGGTCCAGTCCACACTAATGTAAACAGCAGCGCGCTGGTCTCGTGAGGAACGGAGAGTGGAACAACCAATCACATCTTCATTATTCTCCTGAAATGTAAATGTGCCCATTCGCCAGTCTGACACATAGACTGTATATAAAGGTCTGGTCTGACAGGTGCGTGGTTCTCACTGCGCTTCATACCGGTGCAACTTTGAACACCTTCAATATATGCCACATTAATGGATTTGGCCTGCAGTCACCGCATCTGGGCTGAATTAAACACGTATTATTTTAGTCCTGTGTGTTTATTAGAGGCCATGTCAGCAGGCCACATCATGCCAGCGTTGCGTTCACAAGACATACAAGCCACAAACTGGCAATCGAAACATGCTACAACCTCGGGGCAGTAGCACCTGAGGGACAGTGAATGAGACACAGAGACACACCCAAACACACCTTGAGGGAGGGACAGCTCAGTGCAGCGATCAGCTGTTCGAGAGAGAGAGAGAGTGATACCAATACTGTGCCTCCAAACTACTGTAGGAGCGGAATCATTCGAAAAATATAATGCTAGGATAATGCTATACAATGCTAACGGAGGCGAGACATACGTTATTCACACGCTTATCCACACGTACGTTATTCACGCGCATATCCACACGTACGTTATCAACACGCATATCTAAGATAGCGCTTTTTAAGCTACGCCGCCGCCACGTGAGCGCGTACTTTGAGCGCACATATGATACGTTGCCGTGACGTCTGACATCGTCGTGACGTCGCCTGTATTCTACGTCAACCCATTCAAAATTGATGGAGGCGTTGGCGCACGTTCACACGTTAGTTATCCGCTCAGTCAGCTTAGTTGTCTGTTCTTTGGCACAAATCACACCTCATAGACGTTAGCACAGAGACATTAGCAAACAGACGTTAGCATAGAGACGCCAACACACAGACGTTAGCACAGACGTTAGCACAGAAGTTAGCACAGAGACGTTAGCACAGAGACGTAAACGCAGAGATGTTAGCACAAAGATGTAAGCACAGAGACGCTAACAAACACAGACGTTAGCACAGTAGTCAGCACCAGTGGCGTCTCCTGGCCTGGGCATTCGGGGCTTTAACACAAGTCATGTGCACGGAAATGCTGTTCAACCATTGGTCAGACATTAAGGGGGTAAAAACGCAAATCCCGACAATTTCTACCGGAGCCTCCGCCATGGAGCATCGGCACTTTATCGGCAGGTTATTTTCATGCTGCTGTTAATCTGGAGATCAACAGACTCTAGCGGCCCGCGCATATGATTATAGAATCAGACAACGTCCGTTAAAAAACATTATAACACATATAATGAGAGACGTTCTGCAGTAAGGAGGGGGTTTCACCGACGACAGGTGTTCTTAATTTTAAGTAGTTGACGGAGCATTTTTACTTTACACGACACTGTTGAACACTTCATCCTGCTTCACTCTTTAACTGAACAACCGCGGATGTCTTGAAAGACTCTTTCTCTAAAGATTTTTGAAGACATCCGCGTTCTTGTGACACGTAAATACTACACTTCCTATGTTTTGGTGCGGACTGCGTTCACACCAGCAATGAACCGCTCCAGAGTTCGCAAGCAAGCGTTCCGAGACCACCTATTTTAGCGGACCAGAGTCCGGTTGTTTAGTTCACTTAAGAGGTCTCGGACTGTGTTCACACCGACCCAAATGAACCGCACCAAGCGGCTAAACGCACCAGGGTTCGATTCAACCGGACTATAAAAGGCTGGTGTGAATGCTCAGAGGCTCAGGTGAGCTAAAGGACTCTCTGAGTGTTTAGATAGTTAGTCTAAGTTATCTCAGTGGGTCTCAAACGGTTTGGTCACAAATTATTCAAAAGATTATTTCCGCGGCACACCTTCATATGATCATTATAGTTATATAAAAAAAAGAGAATAAAGGAAAAACAGTTATGAAATACTATATGGCAGTAAAACAAGAATAGAGTTTAAAAGGGGAGTGATTAGTAAAATATCCATAAAGAAAAAGTACATCTGTTTAGTTCTGCTTCATATGGGTGTTGAGAGAGGTATCCATAGATCTCTTCATGTTGCTCTCAAAGTGCACCAGATTGATGCTTTTAACTTCAATATTTAAAAAATCTTCCAGGGGGAGCATCCCCCCGGACCCCCCTAGTGGAGGTGAGGTCCACCCCCCACTCAAAAAAATACCACTTTACCCCTGCCTATATGCCGTGAGCTGATTATCGAGCCTTCATTGTAACAGTCGCGGGTGTACTGTGTGTGTGTGTGAGTGTGGGGAGTGTTGCAGTGAAAAATGCCACTGTAGTGCCGCCGCCACTGTGGGCTAAGCCCCGAATGTTTTCAGGTCCAGGCGACGCCCCTGGTCAGCACACAGACGCTAACACACAGAGACGTTAGCACAGAGATGCTAACACACAGACGTTAGCACAGAGATGCTAACACACAGAGACGTTAGCACAGAGATGCTAACACACAGAGACGTTAGCGCAGAGAGGTTAGCACAGAGAGGTTAGCACAAAGAGGTTAGCACAGAGAGGTTAGCGCAGAGAGGTTAGCACAGAGACGTTAGCACAGAGACGTTAGCACAGAGACGTTAGCACAGAGACGTTAGCGCAGAGAGGTTAGCACAGAGACGTTAGCACAAAGAGGTTAGCACAGAGAGGTTAGCAAAGAGATTTAAATAAACAGAAGTTAGCACAGAGACGTTAGCATAGAGACATTAGCACCTGGTTACCTGTGGGGGAGGGTTTAGGGGCGGGGTCGGGGGGGAGGGGCTTAGTGGGAGCAGTAGGTCGGTCATGAACCTGATGAAACAGGAAACAGGAAGCAGAGAAACAGCTGACACATGCGCAGAAGAAGGTCAGACCAGCAGCTTGTTGACGTGAGAAACCTCTGCAGCGTGATGTTGACTCACTTTCTGTAACTTTATTTCACCATGTGTTGCAACCACGTTCAATACACCTGCATTCAAGTGATATCAACACTGGTAGAAGTACTCAGGTCTTGTACTTGAGTAAAGTAGAAGTACTCAGGTCTTGTACTTGAGTAAAGTAGAAGTACTCAGATCTTGTACTTGAGTAAAAGTAGAAGTACTCAGGTCTTGTACTTGAGTAACAGTAGAAGTACTCAGATCTTGTACTTGAGTAACAGTAGAAGTACTCAGATCTTGTACTTGAGTAAAGTAGAAGTACTCAGGTCTTGTACTTGAGTAAAGTAGAAGTACTCAGGTCTTGTACTTGAGTAAAGTAGAAGTACTCAGATCTTGTACTTGAGTAAAGTAGAAGTACTCAGGTCTTGTACTTGAGTAACAGTAGAAGTACTCAGATCTTGTACTTGAGTAAAGTAGAAGTACTCAGATCTTGTACTTGAGTAAAGTAGAAGTACTCAGATCTTGTACTTGAGTAACAGTAGAAGTACTCAGATCTTGTACTTGAGTTAAAGTAGAAGTACTCAGATCTTGTACTTGAGTAAAGTAGAAGTACTCAGGTCTTGTACTTGAGTAAAGTAGAAGTACTCAGGTCTTGTACTTGAGTAAAGTAGAAGTACTCAGATCTTGTACTTGAGTAAAGTAGAAGTACTCAGGTCTTGTACTTGAGTAAAGTAGAAGTACTCAGGTCTTGTACTTGAGTAAAGTAGAAGTACTCAGATCTTGTACTTGAGTAAAGTAGAAGTACTCAGGTCTTGTACTTGAGTAAAGTAGAAGTACTCAGGTCTTGTACTTGAGTAAAGTAGAAGTACTCAGATCTTGTACTTGAGTAAAAGTAGAAGTACTCAGGTCTTGTACTTGAGTAACAGTAGAAGTACTCAGATCTTGTACTTGAGTAACAGTAGAAGTACTCAGGTCTTGTACTTGAGTAAAAGTAGAAGTACTCAGATCTTGTACTTGAGTAAAAGTAGAAGTACTCAGATCTTGTACTTGAGTAAAGTAGAAGTACTCAGGTCTTGTACTTGAGTAACAGTAGAAGTACTCAGATCTTGTACTTGAGTAACAGTAGAAGTACTCAGATCTTGTACTTGAGTAACAGTAGAAGTACTCAGGTCTTGTACTTGAGTAAAAGTAGAAGTACTCAGGTCTTGTACTTGAGTAAAAGTAGAAGTACTCAGGTCTTGTACTTGAGTAAAGTAGAAGTACTCAGGTCTTGTACTTGAGTAAAAGTAGAAGTACTCAGATCTTGTACTTGAGTAAAAGTAGAAGTACTCAGATCTGTACTCGAGTAAAAGTAGAGTAATAAGTACCAGAGAAGTACTCAGATCTTGTTCTTGAGTAACAGTAGAAGTACTCAGATCTTGTACTTGAGTAAAAGTAGAAGTACTCAGATCTTGTACTTGAGTAAAAGTAGAAGTACTCAGATCTTGTACTTGAGTAAAAGTAGAAGTATTCAGATCTTGTACTTGAGTAAAAGTAGAAGTATTCAGATCTTGTACTTGAGTAAAAGTAGAAGTACTCAGATCTTGTTCTTGAGTAAAAGTAGAAGTACTCAGATCTTGTACTTGAGTAAAAGTAGAAGTACTCAGATCTTGTACTTGAGTAGAAGTAGAAGTACCAGAGTGTAGGAATACTCTGTTACAGTAAAAGTCCTGCATTCAAAATGTTCCTCAAGTGAAAGTAGAAAAGTATTATCATCAAAATATAGTGAAAGTAGCGACAGTAAAAGTAGTCATTGTGCAGATTGGTCCATTTCAGAATAATATATATGATATGTTTTATAATGATTGATCATGAAAGTGTTCTCAAAGCTGGTAAAGGTGCAGCTAGTTTGAATGACTTTGTATACTGCAGGGTAGCTTGTGGATTTACTCCAGGTGGAACTAAAGTCTGATTTAACACTTGATTATATTTCACATCATTCATCCACATCTGTGAAGTAACTAAAGGGATTAAATACATGTAGTGGAGGAAAAGTACACCATGTACCTCTGAACTGTAGTGGAGTAAAAGTATGAAGTAGCAACAAATGGAAATACTCAAGTAAAGTACAAGTACCTCTAAGACACAGTTGAGGAAATGTGAAAGCTTTAAGAGCCGAAGTGAAAGCAGGACTTCCAGTTTCTGTCCTCGCTGACTTTTATCACTAATAAAGAGACAAACATCACGCCGGAGGTTTCAAAGAAAGACGCAGGGTTTATTTTTGGGTTTTTTTAGCGAATGGACACCGTTTCCTTTGCAGGTTAAACCTCACAGCTGGACAGAAGAGACTGTGTCTGTTGTCAGATCTCTCATTCCCCTGATAGGTGGAGAGTTGCCCATACAGGCGGAGCACCCCGTTACTGACGTCAGTGCGTGTTCAAATCTGAATCAGTCTGTATCAAATCCGTTGCAGCCCCGTTTTTTAGAGATTTGGGTATGGAGGAAAAGAGAGAGGGTTTTATTTTCTGACGCTGCGTGAGTTCCCCGACGCACCGGGGACACATATGTATGTATAAAAGACATCACAAAGTGCATTTTGCATGATAGGTCCCCTTTAAGTTGTAAAAGTTGCCCGAATTGAACAAAAAAACAACAAATATTTTATCATATCGGTGGTCAGTGAAGGCATCGTTGCCGTGGTTACCTCTTTGTGAAGGGGGGTCAGAGGGATGTCCGGCGGTGCGTTCAGGTGAAATCGGAGAGGTCGGACCTGCTCTCCGTTCCTGCGGTCGGCTCGCTCCATCACCGGCGTCCTGAACACAGACACTAACAATGAGACCCTGAACACAGACACTAACAACGAGACCCTGAACACAGACACTAACACTGAGACCCTGAACACAGACACTAACACTGAGACCCTGAACACAGACACTAACAATGAGACCCTGAACACAGACACTAACAACGAGACCCTGAACACAGACACTAACAATGAGACCCTGAACACAGACACTAACAACGAGACCCTGAACACAGACACTAACAACGAGACCCTGAACACAGACACTAACAATGAGACCCTGAACACAGACACTAACAATGAGACCCTGAACACAGACACTAACAACGAGACCTGAACACAGACACTAACAACGAGACCCTGAACAGAGACACTAACACTGAGACCCTGAACACAGACACTAACACTGAGACCCTGAACACAGACACTAACACTGAGACCCTCAACAGAGACACTAACAATGAGACCCTGAACAGAGACACTAACAATGAGACCCTGAACAGAGACACTAACACTGAGACCCTGAACACAGACACTAACACTGAGACCCTCAACAGAGACACTAACACTGAGACCCTGAACACAGACACAAACAATGAGACCCTGAACAGAGACACTAACAATGAGACCCTGAACAGAGACACTAACAATGAGACCCTGAACAGAGACACTAACACTGAGACCCTGAACAGAGACACTAACAATGAGACCCTGAACACAGACACTAACAATGAGACCCTGAACACAGACACAAACAATGAGACCCTGAACACAGACACTAACACTGAGACCATGAACACTAACAACGAGACCCTGAACACTAACACTGAGACCCTGAACAGAGACACTAACACTGAGACCCTGAACAGAGACACTAACACTGAGACCCTGAACAGAGACACTAACACTGAGACCCTGAACAGAGACACTAACACTGAGACCCTGAACACAGACACTAACAATGAGACCCTGAACAGAGACACTAACAATGAGACCCTGAACAGAGACACTAACAATGAGACCCTGAACACAGACACTAACACTGAGACCCTGAACACAGACACTAACACTGAGACCCTGAACAGAGACACTAACAACGAGACCCTGAACACTAACAATGAGACCCTGAACACAGACACTAACACTGAGACCCTGAACACAGACACTAACACTGAGACCCTGAACAGAGACACTAACAACGAGACCCTGAACACTAACAATGAGACCCTGAACACAGACACTAACACTGAGACCCTGAACACAGACACTAACAATGAGACCCTGAACACTAACAATGAGACCCTGAACACAGACACTAACACTGAGACCCTGAACACAGACACTAACAATGAGACCCTGAACAGAGACACTAACAATGAGACCCTGAACAGAGACACTAACAATGAGACCCTGAACAGAGACACTAACAATGAGACCCTGAACACAGACACTAACAATGAGACCCTGAACAGAGACACTAACAATGAGACCCTGAACACTAACAATGAGACCCTGAACAGAGACACTAACACTGAGACCCTGAACAGAGACACTAACAACGAGACCCTGAACACTAACAATGAGACCCTGAACACAGACACTAACACTGAGACCCTGAACACAGACACTAACAATGAGACCCTGAACACAGACACTAACAATGAGACCCTGAACAGAGACACTAACGCTGAGACCCTGAACAGAGACACTAACGCTGAGACCCTGAACACAGACACTAACAATGAGACCCTGAACACAGACACTAACAATGAGACCCTGAACAGAGACACTAACAATGAGACCCTGAACAGAGACACTAACAATGAGACCCTGAACAGAGACACTAACAATGAGACCCTGAACACAGACACTAACAATGAGACCCTGAACAGAGACACTAACAATGAGACCCTGAACACTAACAATGAGACCCTGAACAGAGACACTAACACTGAGACCCTGAACAGAGACACTAACAACGAGACCCTGAACACTAACAATGAGACCCTGAACACAGACACTAACACTGAGACCCTGAACACAGACACTAACAATGAGACCCTGAACACAGACACTAACAATGAGACCCTGAACAGAGACACTAACGCTGAGACCCTGAACAGAGACACTAACGCTGAGACCCTGAACACAGACACTAACAATGAGACCCTGAACACAGACACTAACAATGAGACCCTGAACACTAACAATGAGACCCTGAACAGAGACACTAACGCTGAGACCCTGAACAGAGACACTAACACTGAGACCCTGAACACAGACACTAACACTGAGACCCTGAACACAGACACTAACACTGAGACCCTGAACACAGACACTAACACTGAGACCCTGAACACAGACACTAACAATGAGACCCTGAACACAGACACTAACACTGAGACCCTGAACACAGACACTAACAATGAGACCCTGAACACAGACACTAACACTGAGACCCTGAACACAGACACTAACAATGAGACCCTGAACACAGACACTAACAATGAGACCCTGAACAGAGACACTGAGACCCTCAACACAGACACTAACAATGAGACCCTGAACACATCACAGCGGTGCGTTCAAGGACACTTACACAGATAACATACGTATTTTTTAATGAGTGTTACATTTGACTCACTTTAAAAACAGATTTCTCTAAAAACAGACAAATTACACTCTTAAAAAATAGTTTAAACAAAACCCTCATTAAATGAAATAAAGCACGTGATATGTCTTTAGAAAGCGAGCTCTAACACATCGACAGACACACAATAATCACCACTAACACTTAAACACAACACAAGAGGCGTTCAGGGTCTGTGCTGCAGTGGGAACAATCGGCGTCTCTTGGCTGGTATCAAACTGACTGAGGATTTATCTTATAATTAAATAACAACAATCAGACTTAAAGCTGCACCTTGCTAACCCTCTTCAAGTTTTCAGGACTACATTACCCAGAAGCCTCTCTGTTCTGAACTACAGACTGTTATTTTAAATACAGGTTTATAACCGTTGCTCGAAATGTCCTTTTTATTTTCTCTTTAGATTTATAATGTGTTTAAAAATTATCATAACTTGAAAGGTATTGCAGTAAAAAGGACACACACGCACACGCACGCACGCGCGCACGCACGCACGCACGCACGCACGCACGCACGCACGCACGCACGCACGCACACACACACACACACACCACACACACCACACACACACACACACACACACACACACACACACACACAACACACACACACCACACACACACACACCACACACACACACACACACACACACACACACACACACACACACACACACACACACACACACACACACACACACACACACACACACTAACAGACGGTGTGCAGCTTTAAGGTCTGAAGAGGAGCTCCTCTGCAGTCAGAGAGACGAAGGTCGACCTCACATGTATGTAGTTAACCTCTCACAGTACCTGCAGACGTGTTCAGGTACCAGGTCCAGCATCTCACACTGAGACACACTGCATCATGGGTAAAGAAAGCTTATTTTGTAAACAACAACAAAACATCTGTTGACTGTTTCTGTCGTCAATAACCCACCGTGAGGATGCACCTCAGCGTGTCAGGTGTTCTGAAACATATCTTTATATTTGAATTAAATAGTTTTCATATCACCAAAATAAAACTAAAGGCACT